CAGGGCCCCAGGGTGTTGCCTACATAGCTTTCTCCTTTTTCTTCCTCCTTTTTCTCCTACCTTCTTCTCAAAATACATTGTACACCAAACTAAAAAATTCCAGGCAATGCCTTAGAAAGTGCCCTGTTGTGTCTGGATCAAAGTTTGGCTAAGTTAAAGTTTACCAAGTTCAAGTTTGTGAAGTGCTTTACTTTGGGTGGTGTTTAAAATTTGCAGAGTATGTCACTGTGCCTTCGTGCTCCAAAGTTTGCAGGTCTGGCTGAGCTTCACACCCACACAGCCATCCCCTCCCATCTTCCCCACAGGGAAAGACTGACAGTTCTGCTTTACTCACCATTTCTGCCTGGCACAACCTTCCACTCCTCTTTACCTGTAGCTGTGCAAGAGTGTTTTGTCTCCAAATTTATGTAAAACTAAGTAACAACATCACAATAATAATAATAACAATAACAATATTATTGGTAATAAAACTTTAAAAGTCACTGATGATGTTAAAGTTATTTTACCATTAGAAGATTGTTTATGAAGAGCTTTGAAATAAAATTGCAAAAACCCGGAAAAGACAGTATTCTTCTGAAGAACAGGCTGGCCCCCTGAAGGTGCGGTTGTCTGAGACCAGGTCAGAGTTATATCCAGCCTGCCTTTTCCTTGTGCCCACACAGAGTCTGGAGAAATCTTATGTCTGTCCCCTACCCAGCCTTTCTCCAGGTCTCTTTTCCAGTGTTTACCCATCAAACCTTCCCCCAGAGTGGGCATGTAACATATCTGCAGAACCAAACAAGCTGTGACATCCAGCTGGGAGTGTGTAGGAGCTACTGAGAGCTCGGCAGACAGTGGGGTTTGAGAGCTACACAGCACCCCCATGAACCAGAGCCCACGGTGCTGCTGCAATGAAACAACAAGTGTTGTGTGAGAGCAGACACATTCAGGAGTGCAGCTCAATTGTGGCTGTTTCCTACCCCACTCTAAAGCCAACTTTTGCCCTCCACTAGATTAAAATATCAGATTCACTGAAAATGTACTCCCACTGAGTACTCCAAGAACACTTACTCTCGTGGCACATTTATTTAACACAGAGTACTGATCCACTGCTCTGCCTTGCACTGGATACTTTCAAGGACTCCCATTCTGCCTGAGAGAGAACAGATATTTTATAGAAATATAATTACAGAAGAAAATGTTGTCAGGGAATAATGTTCCCTGCTGCTTTGGTCCAATGAAAGCCAAAGCCACCATAAAACTTTCAGGAAAAGGGCAATAATTAATTCTATGAGGATAACACTCTATCACACTGCCTTGCGGCTATTATGACAAAATAAATTAAAGTATCGTAGTCTCTCTATATATAGTTTAACTTATACATCTAATTTTCGTATTTTAAAAACTACCTTGAAAAATTAAATTAATCTTCTCACACATATGAGTTTTATAGATCACATTTTGAAGAATAATATCTCAATATGCTATTCTCATTTCTTTTAAGGACATCAACAGCATGCTTGTTAAAAAGTGAGAATTTAGAGAACATCAGAGTTCCTGATTACTCACTGGATGGTGTGGATGTGAAGAAAAGCTAGACAGATTTCTAAGGAATTAATTAGTCATCTTAAGGACCACACAGCATGAAAAATAACAGTGACAATATCAAGCACTTATGCAGATACACACCATCCTTTTATAATTATTATTTACATGCAATTCTCCAAGTGCATTTCTGTGTCCTCCCCAGTATAGTCATTACAGAAGTATCTCTAAGAGCTGCCTGACTTGTTTCTGTGTTTTGTTAATGGCAGCTTTATTCTTCTTTACATCTTTAAGTAGGCCATTTGCTGGGGTTTGGCAGTATGTACCTGCAGTTAGCTGCCTTTTGAAAAGGTCAGAGGTTGCTGGAGTTCTGGACAGCTGTATTTCATTCAGATTTCTGTGTGCACTGATTTAGGAATGCTCAATTTTTTAGCCATAATCCATTTATATAAATATAATTTTTGAGTTAAGTAACACACTGCTGAAAAGCAGGGTTATCTGAAATTTTACCCAAATAAATTATAGCCATTCAACAAATTAATCATCAATTTTACTTAACATAATTCATCTTGAAGCTTATATGTGTGTGTGCATTTTATCAATTACCACAGATCACCACCAATGTGCAGCCAGTCCGTGCATCCATCATCCATGCAGACACCTTGGAAAAGGGCAAACTTTGAAGCATGTCTCAAATGATATATATATAGGGAGAAGAAATTCTGTTTCAGAAGCAAAATGTCATAAAACATCCCTGTACCAAAAATAATAGTAATGAAACACCTTACTTGAGTTTGTTTAAAACAAACTAGGCCAGAATTGCCATTCTGGATGCAAAAAAAAGAAGCAGACCGCTTTTATGAATGCCATAAAAATAAACTATTTTAATAGGTACATAAATAAAAGGTTAAAATTTTCCCCCCTGAACATCAAGATGGCCTAGCTTCTGTACAGAAATGAACAATATTCGTGGGACTCCTAAATTAAATAAACCCTTTGTTACATTCAAAACCACTGAAGGCAAATACATAATGCAGTGACGCACCTGAATTGTTCTCCTTCCTCATCCTAGCAGTGTATACAGTATTTCCTTGGTTTACAGTACTCTGAGGATATGAATCTCTTAAATAAACTCTGAATGACAGGGTGGAAATAAACTTTAAAAAGTCAACATTAAAAGAACCCAAACAACCCTGGCACCCACAGGGGTACCTTGCATCAGCTAGGAAATTTTAATGGAAGAGAAATAGGATTGTGCTGTAAAATAAATTATCTATTTTACATATTGTTGTATAGTTATCTTAAAGTGTTTAAATATTACATTCACTTTGGTGATGTGTTTTTGTCTATCCTGTAATAAATTACACGAGGTGTGTGCTTGTTGGTCATGTGTTTTACTGCAAATGGGGGGGGGCTCAGCACATCTAGGAAAATGTTAAAAATATTTCAGATTTAGTTAAGATGGACAAAATCCAATTTAAAGCAGCTTTCCTCCTATCATGCCCCCCCTCCCCAGCACCTCTACAAAGTTACCCTGATGGCTTCAGTTTTGCTGTGTTGTATCAAAACATGTCACAGGCTGATGACTAACACTTACTGACACACAGAGGTTCTTGGGTTTTGTTTCTCCTCTCTCCCTCTGAACCATCTGTCAGCTTGAGAACATCTGCCATTAACATCTCCATGCTCTCCAAAGATTCCAGCTAATTAAGGCAAGGAACCATCATTTGTCCATCAAAGCTAAGTTTCCTGAAACAAGATGCTATCACTGTTGTTATCTGGAAAGTGTCTGGTGATGGGTGAGGACCACTCATCCTGTGGAGGAGAAAGTCTGTCACATGGTCACTCAGAGTGCTAAAGTATCTTGTGCTGGTGAAATCAGAGACAAAATTAAAAGATGACAACTTTCATTCATAGTGCAGAACTGGCATTTCTAGTCTATTCCATCAGAAGTTCAAGAAGTGGGGCCAGGCTGACTCAGGCCTTGCCAAGGACCCTGCTTAGAGTTTACCCACCAGCAAGACGCGACCGGCAGTGAAATGACTGCCCCTTTTTCCGACTGGCTTTCTTCTTCTTCTTCATCTTCTTCTGCTTATTTGCACCTTTGCTTTTGTCTGATTTCTTTTTCTTTTCGTCCTCCTTAAACCACGGCCCCCAGACTCCTCCGTTGAGCTTGGGGTTGCTGCGAGGGTCCTTGGGCGGGTAGCGGACGGGCACCGCGGTCTTGTTGAACTGCGAGAGCCTCCGCAGCAGCTGCTTCACCACCTCGGGGTGCCGGGCAGACAGGTCCACGCGCTCGTAGGGGTCGGCCGTGATGTTGAAGAGCCACACGGTTTTCCCGGCCGACCAGGAGACGCGCTCGTTGTGCCAGCGGTTGGGACCCGCATTGCTGAAGGCCTGCGGAGGCACCCAGTCGCTGTAGCCCGGGTTTCCCGTCAGCAGCTTCCAGTGATTCACTCTGATGGCAGACTGGATGGCAGTGTTCCAGATCCCGTAGCCAGCGGCCCAGGAGCCGTTCTTGGCTTTGGTGTAGATGGGGTCGATGTTGTGCAGGATGTCCACCCGTGGGGAGCGCCGGCCCTCGCTGATGGTCTCCCACACATCATAGCCGTCCAGCTGGATGTCTTCATCGATCTGCCCCTCCGCCAGCGTGATCAGCGTGGGGAACCAGTCTGTGATGTGCACCAGCTCCTTGCATACAGACCCTTTGTTTTTCAGAAGGGGGCTGTGCACAAACCCTACGGCGCGGATACCTCCTTCCCAATAGGTGCCTTTGCTTCCTCGGAGTGGCCAGTTACTGCCTCCGGCCATCGGCTGCCCGCCATTATCAGAAGAATAAATGATAATGCTGTTCTCGTAGTAGCCATACTTCCTCAGAGCGAGGGTCACATTATTTATGGCCTCATCCAAGCAGGCCAGCATGGCCGCGTACCGCCGCCTGTTGATGTTGTTTATCGAGCGGTAATGTTCAAAATACCTGCCCGGCGCCTGAAGAGGCGAATGGACAGCTTGGTAGGCAATATAGAGGAATATGGGTTTCCTAGGGTTATGAGAAGCCAGGATCTGCTGCACCTTCTGCGTGTACATCTGCGTGGAGTAGATGCCGTTGTCGTGGTCCCAGGCGGCGTTGTTGTTCTCGTACAGGTCGTAGCCGCATATCCCGGGGCTGTCGCACTTGAAGTGGGTGTAGTAGTCACCGCTGCCCAGGAGCGAGCCGAAGAAGGAGTCGAACCCCCTCTGGGTGGGCATGCACTCCCGGCGGTAGAAGCCCAGGTGCCACTTGCCCACCATGTGCGTGGAGTACCCGGCCTCCTTGAGCTTCTGAGGTAGTGTGACGTTATCCAGAGGTAAGCAGTTGGGCTGCGTCGGCCGGATGATGGAGTGCTGCAGGCCCGTGTGGATCTGGTACCTGGAGGCGGGAGGAGACAGGCATCAGGGTGGTGGAGGAAATGCTCAGGTGTATGGACACCTTAATCCCAACATAAAATGTCCCTATGCATGCCAAAGCCTTTTCTGGAATACACAGCATTCCAGAGTGCCTGTGTATGCTGCTTTCAAAAACCAGCTCGGTCGCACCATCGAATCTGTCCTCACCTCAGTGAGGAATGAAACATTTCCCTCCATGACCTGAGCTACTCAAAATACCTACATATACAGGAGCACAGGTACTTTGAGGCACCCTTCTTTCCTCCACATCTCCATTTAACAATGGCTATAGAAAATTATGTGGATAAATACAACTTTTACAGTGCCTCGTAATTTGCTAGCAGTGAACGTATCTACAGCATATAAAAATGCTGGGCTTTGAGCATGTAAGAGCAATATGTTTAAAGGATGGGGTAATAAATTCTGCAGTGCACTACAGGCTATGTGTAAAGAATACATATGGCTTCCATATGATGAGAAAATGAATCCAGCACGGGCAGCAGTAAGTATCAAAAATCAAGGGCAAATATATTTATACCAGTTTGACACTAAAAAAGAGAATGTAACAGCAGATAGTAGACCAAAGACAACTTCTCCCTGAGTGTGAGAAGAGGTTCAATTCCCAACCATGCATAGAACAGCCAGGTCCACCAATACTGCGCATCTCCCCCAAAACCGGTTCTTATTAATTTGTGGTAGCAGGAGTTGGGGCTTCTTGACAAATTCTGCTGGTGTTGCCAATCTGATTGGCCTCCTGAGCTGTCTAGAAAATTAAAACCATTGGGCTCTGCCTGTCCATAAATAACTTGAAGCCTGCTTTCGTATGAGGGCTTCCTGGCCAGGATCTCCAAAGGCGCCATAGCTGTCTCTAATGGCTGGCAGCGTGGATGGATTGTGTAACTCCCATTTCATTCCGGAGCTCATTTCCCCGGGCCCAGAAGCTCTGCTCTCACTAAGTGCCTGCAGAAGCTCTGGCTGTTGTGCTGCTCTGCACCCAGCGTGCTGCAGGGCTGCTGCTGTGCTCTGCCCCCCGGCCCCTCTGCACAGCATTGTCTCTGCCACCAGGCTGGGGACCTGGAGCCCTGCCACCCAATTGTCCCCAAACTCACAGGCTGGCGCTGACAGCACAGGAGATGCTGCAGGAGAGAGCTACAACACACCCTGAAAATGATGGGTTTCTGGGATCTGCACTTTGCTTTTGTAAAAGAAATGTCACACACACACACACACACACAAGTCCCACATCCTTCCCATGGTTCAGCTGCAACATTCTCTTCTTAAAAGAGGTAAACTACACCAGGAAAGCCATGCAGTGCTCCATACTTCAGCTCATTCCATATTTGGGACTCCTCAGGGAACCATGTCCGTAAGGCATTTCATTTCCTTCCCCTTCTTTTTCCTCTGCCTTGTTAAATCCTTTCAGAAAATTCCCATTTTTTTGATCCAACTGGAAAAGTCCTTGTCCCCACTTGGCTATTTTAGTCAATAGTTTCTGCTTTCTTAACTCTGACAGGCTCCTTGAACACAAGGTCAGCCCCCAGTCCCAGCTGGGCAGTTCCTCCGTAACAAGCTGATTTTGCTGGAAGTCAGGATTTTCTCTGAAGGGACCCAGCTGGTTCCCTCCACCACCATTCTCCTCTGAAAACCGAGAAGCTGGGCCTGAGGGGAACAGGCCACAGAATCTGCAAAACACTGCAAACCAATCTTCCTCCTGTAGGCAAATGTCTACACAGAAAGCATGATAGTCACACAACATTCATTCCCATCGAGAATTCCTAAAACACCAGGCAGTTTCCCCAGCGAGGGCTTTTCAACTAGAGATCCAAGCATGAAATTCCTAAGCTGTTGATCTGACAAATATTGAACCAAAACCCAGCAAGGATTGGCCTCAGTCACAGAGGCATTCAGCAGTGCCTCTTGCTTCAGCAGGGCCCTAAGGAAGTTATTCACTATGCTGGTAACACTGCACATATAACACACACCCATCTATATGCACATATATTCCCTGCTGCTGCCTCTTTGCAGGAGACTCTGGTGTGTTTCCCAGATGTGTCTGTGTGCTATTTTTGGCATGGCTGTGCTTTGGAATATACCTATAGGCACACAGACAAAGAGACACATTTTTACACTCGTATGTGTAAAAAAGAAGTCTGCAAACCAATACATTTTAAGTTGAAATATTTCAAGTGTAGAAATGCTTCAAAGAAATATCAACCTCTGATTATCAGAAGACTGCACTATGACAAAAAAGGTCAAGATTTGTACACTTTCCTGCACCACATGCCTTTCTAATTGATCCATTATGTGCCAACATTGCTTTTTTCAGTGAAAGCATTTCACATTTTCAAAGGACTTGAAGGGCATCCATAGAAAAGCAAAGTAATCTCAGCAAAAAACCAGTGATGATATGGAAGCAAATGGCACTAATAGCAATAGGAAAAATGTCTCAAAACAACTGTTTTGAAACTTTTTCTGGACTGTGCAAGACGAAAAAAAAACTGAACCAGGAAAAACATAAAGGGATTAGGAGGCAGATGCTGATTTTGAGGGTGTTTTCTATCAGATAAAGTCATGAGTTCACCAACTGCCATGAAATGTCTGTAAGATACATCCTATAAATTTCATGGCTTCTATTTTTTAGAATAAATTGGCTGGATTTATTCCCAAATGAAGAAAGCAAGTTAGGACTGTGAATAGTCTGGAATTCATTATTAGAATTTCAGCACCAGTAACCAGTCAAATTTAAGCAAATGCTGACAGGCCACAGAATCCAATTTTACTATTTTTCAGACTTTGACCTTCATGGGCATTATTTACATACAGGCCATTAACTGCTGAGAGAGGCCATTAACTGTATAAAGAGTGGGGTTCAAGACTTGGGAATACTTTAGATGGATGTGCTGTGCTTTCCTTCTCCCTGCTCCTCTGACATTCTGGATCATAGGTGTCTCCTTTAGAATACCTGATATTCCCAATCTGCAGAACAAGGAACTAAGTAAAATTTGTGTGAAGTGTTCAGCTAATAAGAAGCATATTGAAAATGAATTTATTCTCACTATAGAGGGATGGCTCTTTGTGCATTTTCGACTCTTGTTTTTGTTTTCCTGGTGTGCTGTTCAGATGTTCACAGTAAACCCACTGTGATACGTGTTGCAGCCAAGGCAGATGCTCAGCGCTGGCTCACTGACACACTGAGCTGTTTTCTTGTTTGTAATGTGCATGTACAACACTATTGATTTCAAGCTCTCACAATTTTCAGATACTGTATTAATTGTCTTCAAACTGAGATTCTTTTAAGGCTCACTGTAGATTAACAAAGAAGCTCAGTTGGAAGTTTCTAATTTCAGGAACTTTTACTAGCAGAGCTCTAGTTAGTACATGTGGAAAATGTATTTTTATTATGCTTGTATAGCTCAGGATATGTTGAAAAAAACTCTCAATTTTAAAAATAATAAACTCTAGCCTAGGATTCAGAAAAGGATACTTTAAATAAAACCCCCATGTTTGCCAGGAGTTGCATAGAGAGTGACAGCGCTGAGGTCTGCATGCTACATAAATTAAAGAGAACACTATTGATGATTGTGACTTCCCCTGTTAAAAATAATGAGCTACAACAAGCAGATACCAGTCAAGAACATCGATTTAGGGGTTACTAAAGAACAGTCTTTGACATCTTACCTGAAACTATTTGTATAACACAACAGCTAAAACAGAGGAATTCCAGGTGAGTAAAAAAATAAGGAAATATGTGATTTTGGGGGCTCTCAGTCTTCAGACATCCAACTTATTGGGAGGAAAAAACCCCAAGATTCCATTTGTCACCAGCAAATCATCAGAGGCAGGACACCATCACCAGTGAGAGAAACCAGATACAACAAAGACATTTTTAGAGTGGACTGAGGCTTTAGCATGGAGCCCACAAGCCCTACGTGTCTGACAAAGTTATTACTTTGGGCAGGGATGTTCACTCTGAATCATCTCAAAGTTGTTTTCAGTCTGTAAGGTGCTTGTGAGGAAAGCAGGAGCAGTTCAGGAGCTCTTCCACCCGGGCTGGTGAAGAGCAGGGCCAGGCATCCTGACCATGGGCATGCTGGGTATGGAGCAGCATGAAAGAATCACACAAAAGGATTCTGCAGCAGAAATATCCGCCATAAAAATGAAATGTTTCATGCTGCATATGCTGAGGTTTTTAAATCAGAGTAAAGCTGGAAATGGGGTGAGTTGATCCAGGAGACCCAGGGGCAGAGGGCAGAGCTGAGCTGATTTAAATGAGATGTAAATAAAGCCACCACAGCCTGACATGAATTGCTGCCAAGCCATCAGCAAGCCCTGGTCCCCTCAGACTGAAGACAACAAAGCCAGAGTGCGCAGCCACAGTGCTTCTGTCTCATTGCTATTATGTCAATTTGCTGAGAAGCAAAATGTTCTCTAAATGTTCATGTCCCTCTTATTTCCATTCTTTCCCTAACTTAGAGACTGATGACAAGGGTTGGCTTTGCAGACTTCCAAGTGCCAAGCTGCCATGAGAGTCCAAGCAGTGGTGGCACCTTGGCACTCCTTAGGGCAGCAGGTCTGGCATCTGTTCTGGACAGGAGCAGGTTAAGCTGAATCCCATCTATCTCATTTCTTCAGTGTTTACAGTCTATGGCAACTGTGTGTAATCCCATGGGATACACTTCTAAATGTCAGCATCAAAGATTTCATGCTACATAGTCTGCTCAGTGCCTATCCCAAGGAGCTCTGAGCCCACACTACATTAGTGTACATTTCAGCTTTCAAAAATATCAGAAAAATACAATTTTCTATATTGAATATATCATTCATTATCTATCATTTAACCATCTTTATCTTCTGGCTTATGACTTTGGGATTTTGGGGGAAGGTGGGTTATGAGTGGAAATGCACCAGAGAATGCAACATTAAAAACTAAATACAAACTCCAAACCCTCACAGACTTTCACTGTGTCAGCCCACACAAATCAA